AAGAGACACAAACATTGCTGCCTTATAAGCTGTAAATCTTTCTGGTAGACATCTTAAAAACTTCTTCACCAATTTCTTGTCCTTGAATTCCATGCCCAGAACACGAGCCTCTTGTGCTAATGCACTGAGTTGAGAACTAAAATCTGATACAGATTCATGTTCTTCCATCTTCAAATTCTCAAATTTTGATTTGAAAAAACCATCCTTAAACTCTTAACCTTTTCAGTTCCTTCAAAGTGTAGTTGCAGAATATCCCACGCCTCTTTTGCATTCTTGCATCCTTGAATCAGATCGAGTTGCTTCTTTTCAACTGATGTAAGTATACCACATAAAGCTTTTGCATTATACTTTGACATCTCCTTCTCACGCTTTGTCCACTTAGCCAATGGTTTGTTGACCACAACACCATCTTTATCTACTGTTTTGGGAACTTCATAGCCATCTTCCACTGATGCCCAAACGTCCATATCAATACTTTGTAAGCTTGCCTTCATCTTCACTTTCCAGTGTCCATATTGTTCAGGTTCAAGCATAAACTCAGTCACCATGCTTTCTGCTGTACTTTATCTTCCCTTCTTTTCTCTTGCCTTTGGGATCTTCACCAGTGACTTAGGTGACCCGCTCTGATACCAATTGTTAATGTAAAAGGGACACCACAATGGTAATGCAGAAAGTAAACCAAGAGACAAATACTACAAGCAAACACTTATGCTTTATTAGAATCTCTTTTAAACAATTTATTACAAGATCTGCTGAATTCAGCTTTTACACGTCTAGTGTTAACACCCTAACACACACTACTGAAAGATTTCTAAGCTACACAGCTTATGTCTCTCCTCCGTCAAGTACTTCAGCCACTGCTTCAGCACGACCCAAGAACACTTCTAAGAGCTTTTCTCTCTTACTATAAGATTAGTCTCTGTGTCTCTGTCTCACTACAGATGCCACCATAGCTATCTTATAGTTATTCTACACGTTCCCAAAACCCTAGTCTTCAAGGAACACAATATGGACATCTTCCATAACATTAAGTGCAACTTTTCTTTTCTTGGAATGCACTTATTCCTCTTTCCTTTAAGTCATAAACTTGCTCCTCAAGTTTATTCCTCTTGCCTTTTCTCCAAGATACACCCTTGCTCTCCAAGTCTACACGACTCCAGCTCAGCATCTTGACTCCACATGGTCTTCACCACTCAACACGACGTCTGCCTCAGCAACTACGTCAGCGACTACTTCAGGGCGGACATCTTACATCTTCAAACTCAATAACATGACTACGATGGTGAATAGGATTGTCAAACTCCTGTACAATTCGTTGAAAAGCCAAAACTTATTGAATGTGCGCCAGATAAAATAGCTAAGCAAGACATTTTGACAAAGCAAGCGCACCTAGGTCTAAGTGTGTTGAAGATCAATCAATTACCGTGATATCAGAGTGCATAACGTGTAGTAGAATGCATCATAGAGAGATTTTGCGAAAAAATGAAAAAATTATAGTTTTCATAAAAACAACCAAACATTAAGTAAAAAATGGTTAAAAATATACACTGAATATGTTTTCTACAGAAAATAAATAAATTTTATCGTTTCGTAAAACAAACGGCACAAAAACATATCTCAAACTATAATTTTTATGAGAAAAATCATAAAACGGCTCGAATCGTAAAATAATTTGAATAACCTAAAAATGATTCGTACGATTTAATCCATAAGAAATCTCAAATCGATGGTTTACATACCAGAAAAAAATAAAAATGAGAAAACGAAAATTTCCAAAGAAGATATGTTCTAATCGAAGAAAAATGAAAAAAAATGATAGAGACAATTTATTTCTCCTGCACAATTGAGCAGCAACATATCAAAGATATGGTTGATGAAGAACATGAGCCAGATCATGAGGAGAAGATAGAAGAAATCAAATAAACTAGTGAAGTGTTTGACCAAAATTTTAAGAAAACAAAAAAAGATGCAAGAAATTACGAGGAATACCTTTGGTTTTGAAAAAAAGGATGAAGAGATGAGAAGGATGCATCAATATTTGTAGTCTGAACAACACGATTCTTAAGTGAAATATCATCAATAAATAAGCCAGACTTAGTTATCATTTAAGGGATGTGATGTTCTGGCTTCATACAAAGGTGAAGATTTAATTTTCTTGAAACTTGGTTTACAGATTCGAGTTCTGAGTTCATCGCGTCATGAACCTAGTTCTAATATTTGGCATTATCACTTACATGGTATCCGCTAATCATTTTTTGATAGATCATCTATCTTTTTACTATTACAGTCCAAACATATTTAACATTTCACTACTCCACCTTAAACATGCTCAACTCCTAAGTTTTAAATGGATGTTTGATAGAAAATATCCAAACTAATTTTTTAAAATCTTTTCATATATCATAACTCGAGATGTAACATGAACATTCATAAAAGAATTTAGGATTTTAAAGCTAATAAAATTCAAAGCAATCTTGTAATCTATAATTTGTCCTTCCATGATTGAAAATCTCTTTCTTTTTTTTTGTTTCTGAGTTCATAATTGTTATAATTGTGGCATTTTAAAAATAATTTTATTTGATTAACTTATAATTAGATTCATTTTATATTGAATCTTATATATTAAAACAGAAGTCATGACTTGACTTCATGTGTGATTTTTTTTTTAAATGAACTAAACTAGAAAGTCATGTTACATTAACTCTCTTATAATCTTACCATTATTATATCTAATGGAAAATCATATCTATAATAACAAATATACGCTTAACAATTTGGTTTTGGTAAATTACCCCCTTCCAACTTAGTCACGCAAAATATGTCAATAGATATAAGTTTAGGAATCTTCTATTATTTATAAGGAAATATGTCAATAATAGTTAAATATATTCACAATATATTAACAAAAATCACAGATTCGTAATATAGAATATTTCTATACACTAACAAAATTTACAAGCTATATATACTAGATAAATTTATTTCGATGTAAAATTTTAAAATTATATTGTTTTAAAAAAAGAATTTTTTAAAAAATTTCATTTTGATAAAATTCTTTATAATAGTAATTTATGAAGCTATAAGTTTAGTTTTTAGCAAAAAATTCTTCGAAGTTTATATTATCTTTCCAAATTAAAGTATACGAATATTTAATCAAGCTCTATTTATATTAGTTTATCTAAAAATGAAATATTAATCTAACAAACAATAAAATATAGAAGAAGAAACAAACACATGTTTGAAAAACATGTATAATATAAAAAAGTTGAAACAATCTATTTGATTAAAACACGTATTATATAATATTATTATGTTTGAAAAACATTTACTATACATATCATAAATATGTGATTACTATTATATATACCAATTTACAAGTGAAAACAACGTGTTTATATAACTAACTATAAACATAAACAAACATCCGCGCGGTTGCGCGGATTAAAATCTAGTTCATATTAAATTCAGATTCAACAATTTGTAAAATTGAAAACTAGTCTCTTTCTCTAAAAAAAGATAAGAAAGAGAGAAAATAAATGAATTTGATTTAATCACCTAACCATTGTTTTGAATATGTAACAAAAATACTCAATTTTTATATCTGAGAGCATTTTACAAAAATAACATAATCTCAAAACGACGTCGTACGCGAACACCTAAATGACCTAAATCACTAAAACCCTTCGGACTACATATAAATACTCACCTTTCTTCTCACCGTCTTTTTATCTCAGCTGCTCATAAACCCTAAACTCACTCAAGCTTCTCTTCTTCCTCGTTTATTGTCAGCTATGGAGTTCTGGGGTAAGATTCTCCTTCCTTTCATGTCCTAAAAACCTGTTATGGAACATCAAAACTTAAGATATTTTGTTAGATGTTGTTAGTCTAATGATGTTTGGTTGATAATAATCAGGAGTCGAAGTTCTAGCAGGGAAGGCACTTAAAGTGAATCCTGGAGAAGGCAATCTTGTCCACATCTCTCATGTTAGTATTATTATTACTATTTGATTTTGATTCTGATTCTGGGAGTGTTTTTGTTTGTTTTGAAATTAGGTCTTGTTTTTGTGTGTATAGGCATCTCTTGGGGATTTGAAAGGGAATAAAGGAGAAGCTGTGACTTTGAATGTGAAAGTTGAAAACAAGAAGTTTGTCATGGGAACTCTTGTCTCTCTGAGCATTCCTCAGACTAACTTTGATATCTTGTTCGATCAAGAGTTTGAGCTTTCTCACAACTTGGGCAAAGGAAGTGTCCACTTTGTTGGATTCAAATGTCCCAACAACAATGATGAATATCCTTTTTTGATAGTTTTTTGTGTTTTTTTTTTCTTTTGTAATTTTTTTTCCCTAATGGTTTACCTTGACTCTTAATGTGTTGTGTTTTCACTGAGGGAGAAGAGTTTTCTGGTGAGTTTTGTAAGATAGATAGTTTTCTTTCTGTAGTATTGGTTTGGTTGCTGATGATTATTATCATTATATGTCTTTGTTTGACAGATTCAGAGGAAGAAGAGGAAGTGGAAGTTCCTGCTAACGCTGCGGCACCAAAGCCTGTGATTGCACAAGCAGATGATTCTGATTCTGAAGACGGTTCTGATGAAGATGAAGAGGAAGACGAGGAGACTCCTAAGGTATATATATCTTAAGTCTCTGCAACACTTCCTTTTTTTTTCTTAATGACTCTATTTTCTCACAGTTTTTTTCTTTTATTTATTATAAAAGGCTGAAACAAGGATGAAGAGAGCACATGAGCCTGCACCCAAGACACCTGTTTCTGCAAAGAAGGCTAAAGTAGAAGCTACTCCCAAGAAAACAGGTAAAAGATAAATGATTCAATCATGAATCTGCTAACAGTTTGTGAAAGCATTAGTACTCACGTCAAAGATTTGTTTGACACAGAGGAGAAGAAGAAAGGTGTAAAGACACCAGCAACTGCAACGCAGAGCCCAAAGTCTGCAAGCCAAGTCGCATGTGGTTCATGCAAGAAGTGAGGCTCTTTTTCTCTCTAAGCTCTTTCTTACTCTGCTCAGTGTTTCTGCTTTGAATAACAAATCTTGTTGTCTGTTCTTTGTGGCAGGACATTCAACTCAGCAAACGCACTTGAGTCTCACACCAAGGCCAAGCACTCTGCTACCGCCAAGTGAAGTGGTTTCTTAAAAGAGTAACAAGTTTCGCTGTTTTGGATCTTGTTAGGAAACTTATGTTTATCTTTTTGAAATTTGGGATGTAGCCTTGATGAAACCTTTTCAGTATTCTATTTTAGTTCCAAGGTTTTGGCCGCTTTTACATTTCAACATATTGATAGTATGCGGAAATCGAAATTTGAGTTTATATTGTCCACGCAGTATAAGATATTAGAAATTGCAAATACAGTAGCATGAATTGGATATCATTTTTTAAACTCGAACAGAACCCACTTATCTGAAGAAACCAAATCAAAATTTATAAACGCTGGAATAAGTGTTATTTTTAACAAAACTGGAAAGGGCATCCAAAAACCCACCCCCCAACATGCTTATAACTCCTTAAATCATAGGGTCAGCACTAAATGATTTGGGAAAATAAGAAGATGAAGGTTGTTGGATCTTTGTACTCAGCCGACAAGAACGTTTGACTACAAAATCCAAGGGTTGAAAAGTCTAGTATTTATTTCCTATGAGATGCATTACCCCAACAATAAGATAGATAAATTTTGCATTTAATTCGTCTCATATAATTCACCTCCCTGCAACATTTGAGATCCAACAAAAGCATTCAAACCCCCCTACATAAACGAAAGTGAGAAGCATGAGATTGTTTCTTTTATTTTCTTTTAATGCTCTCATGTTACTTGAAGCATATGGTTTTACAAAAGAAACTGATAGGCAAGCGTTGTTGGAGTTCAAATCTCATGTTTCTGAAGGCACACAAGTTGTCTTGTCCTCATGGAATACAACAAACCCTCTCTGCAACTGGAAGGGAGTAACATGCGGCCACAAACACAAGAGAGTTATTCGTTTGGACCTGAGAGAGTTGCAATTGGGAGGGGTGATATCACCATCTATAGGTAATCTTTCGTTTCTCATATGGCTTGATCTTTCTTATAACTATTTTGGAGGTATCATCCCTCACGAGGTGGGGAACTTATTTAGACTTCATTACTTGGATATGAGCCATAATGTTCTGGGAGGAGGAATTCCAATTAGCCTATTTAACTGCTCTGAGTTGGTGAGCCTTTTTTTCCATTCAAATCATCTTGAAGGAGGTGTTCCTTCAGAGCTAGAGTTCTTGAAGAATCTTGTTGATTTGAATCTTGGTGAAAACAACTTGAAAGGAAAGCTACCTGCATCTCTAGGAAACATGACATCACTAATGAGAGTTGGTTTTAATGATAATAATTTACAAGGAGAAGTTCCGGTTGATATAGCTAGACTGAGTCAAATAATCTTTCTTTATTTAGGATGGAACAAATTCTCTGGTGTTTTTCCTCCCGCAATATACAATTTCTCCTTGCTTGAAAAGTTACATATTTACGATAATCATTTCTCGGGTTACCTGAGACCTGATTTTGGTACGCTGCTACCAAACCTACAAATGTTAATTCTGGGAGGTAATTTTTTCAAAGGAGTCATTCCAACAACACTTTCCAACATCTCGAATCTTCAAAACGTAGGGCTCGATAAGAACAATCTCACAGGAAGTATTCCTCTGAGCTTTGGAAAATTAAGAAATTTGAAAGTCCTAACACTTTCGGAAAATTCTTTCGGAAGTCATTCAGTTGGAGATCTTGAATTTATTAGAGCATTAACAAACTCCACCCAACTTGAAAATTTAGATGTTTCTGGAAACATGCTTGGTGGCCACTTGCCTAACTCCATAGTGAATCTATCCAGAAACCTCCAAAGGTTAGAGATTGGCACAAATTTCATCTCCGGAAGCATTCCTCAGGACATTGGGAATCTCATAAGCCTCCAATTACTTGGGTTAGAAGAAAACCAGTTAGCAGGTCCGCTCCCGACATCTATTGGAAAGCTTCAACTATTGGAAGGATGTTCTCTCTATTCAAATAATATATCTGGAGAGATACCATCTTTTATAGGAAATATGACTCGATTAAACTTACTATACTTGTACAACAATAGTTTTGAAGGAACCATTCCTCCTAGTCTCAGTAACTGTTCTTCTCTAGGGTACCTATGGATTGCGTCTAATAAGTTGGATGGGACTATTCCTCTGGAAATTATGCAAATTCAATCTCTTATGAAACTAGACCTCTCGGTTAATTTTTTGACCGGTTCTCTACCAGAAGATATTGGAGGGCTTAAAAATCTTGTTGGACTATCTGTTGCACTTAATAAATTATCCGGGAAAATCCCACGTTCCTTGGGAAAGTGTCTCTCAGTGGAAACACTTCTGCTGCAAGAAAACTATTTTGATGGAGCTGTTCCGGATTTAACTAGGTTGGTGGGACTTAAAGAGGTTGATTTATCCAACAATAATCTCTCTGGAAGTATACCTGCATATCTTGCAAACTTTTCTTCATTGGAGTATCTCAATCTCTCTATCAACAACTTAGATGGAAGTGTGCCAACACAAGGAATATTTCAAAATGCTACTATTGTTTCAGTATATGGAAACAAAAATCTCTGTGGAGGCATCAAGGAGTTCAAACTGAAGCCATGTTTGACGGAAGCACCGTTGATGGGAGGATCAAAAAAGAGTTCATCTCCTTTAAAGAAAATAGTGATTGGGGTCAGTATAGGCATTTCTTTGGTTTTACTCCTGGTATTAGCTTCAGTTTATTGGCTCAAGAAAAGAAAGAAGAAGCAGCAGATTAATAATCCAACTCCTTCCACAATGGAGGTATTTCATGAGAGGATGAGTTATGGAGATATCCGAAATGCGACTGATGGCTTCTCTTCAAGCAATGTGATTGGGTCAGGAAGTTTTGGTACTGTGTTTAAAGCCTTTCTCCCAGTTGAGAACAAGTTTGTTGCTGTTAAAGTTCTAAACATGCATAGACATGGAGCAATGAAGAGTTTTATGGCGGAATGTGAATCCCTCAAGGACATAAGGCATCGTAATCTTGTGAAACTATTGACGGCTTGTTCGAGTATTGATTTTCAAGGAAACGAGTTCAGAGCTCTCATCTATGAGTTTATGCCTAATGGAAACCTTGACATGTGGCTGCACCCGGAGGAAGTGGTGGAAGAGACTCGTAGGCCTCCAAGAACCTTGACACTTCTTGAGAGACTCAATATTACTATTGACGTGGCTTCTGTTTTGGACTATCTTCATGTTCATTGTTATGAACCTATAGCTCATTGCGATATCAAACCAAGCAACGTTCTCCTAGACGCTGATTTGACTGCCCATGTTAGCGACTTTGGTATGGCTCGTCTTCTCCTCAAGTTCGATCAAGAGTCCTTCTTCAACCAACTAAGCTCAGCTGGCGTTAGAGGAACCATCGGCTACGCCGCACCAGGTAACACTATCTCACTCCAAAATCCAAACTATATTTTTCTAAAAGATTCTGATAATTTTTTTTTTTAAATATTAAAAGTATATTTTAAATAAATTCGTGATAGAGGTAAACAAAAAACTTTCATATGAAAAAATTATGTAACCTTTTCTTATATTTAAATATAAAAATACATGTATTTAAAAAAAACAGAATCAGACCTTTACCTTGCCCCACTTCTTGTTCTATGAAAATAGTAATTTTTACAATCTTGTTTCTATGAATTATGGTGCAGAATATGGAGTAGGGGGACAACCATCTATACAAGGTGATGTGTATAGTTTTGGGGTTCTGCTTTTGGAAATGTTCACTGGAAAACGGCCAACTGATGAGTTATTTGGTGGAAACTGTACACTCCACAGCTTCATCAAATCTGCTTTGCCAGAGAGAGTGTTGGACATTGCAGACAAATTGATTTTTCAAAATGGTCTCAGAGTCGGTTTCCCTATTGCTGAGAGCTTGACACAGGTTTTGGAGGTGGGACTTAGGTGCTGTGAAGAATCTCCGACCAACCGGATGGAAGTGAGTGAAGCTACAAAGGAGTTGATCTCACTCAGAGAGAGGTTCTTTAAAGTCAGAAGAACAGAAAGACGTTGACGTGTTTATGGTTTACAGACTTTAAAACTATATTCTGAGGACTCCAAAAATATAGTTTGCCTAATGTGTGGTTTTGCTCTTTTATGTACTCATATGCTTGCAGACTATTCGTTTATAAATGCTTGTTATTCGCAGAGGAAAAATAAATGTTGTGTTACTAGCTTTAAAAATTGAGATTCTTATTGTGCTTTCAGATTCTGTTTCTTTTGATTTTCTTGTCTTGTATAATTAAACCTTTGGTATTCACACAAGATTTAACACTGTCCAGGTCGAACTGACTTCAGGGAAAAAAAATTCGTACATAGCAGAAAGACAAAGACTCCATTCCAATGAAGCTACGCATGTTGATCTTGTCGAAGACACATGACACAACAATATGATGAAAAGACGTATCCCATATGTATACCACGAAAAAACCCATAAAGAAGAAGTTATAAGAAAAATATTTTGATTTGAAATTTGATTTTATTAATTTTGTTTGTCTAGAAAAGCTAAAAATAGATTGAAAGTGTATTAATAAATAGGAAAAGACAACTGAACTAAAATATAGATAAATTTACTACTTTAGTAACATATAATTGTAAATAACTTTAAAAATTAAGTGATAATTGATTTGATTACTTCTGCTTAATAAAGTTGACTAGATTTTGACTCACATAACCGTGCGGGTGTTTACTTTCACTTATGTATATGTATAACTTTTGTTTTACCTCGTCTGTGATATATATTAAAAAAAAAATTCAGAAGTATGTATGACTTATATTTAAATACAATAATGTTATTGTTTAGTTGTTTGTCATCCAATTGATAGTCTCAAACCGTTAAAATTGTGTTTGTAATTAGATATACATTTATTTTGTTGAATTAGTTTTTGATTATTAGAGTTATAATGTACTTAAATGTTAATAAAGATGAAGTTAATTATCATGTCCAATAATTTGTCAAGTTTAACTAATTAAACTCCTATATTATTTAGATTTTGGATATGTTTAGATAGAAAGATTTAAGTGTTTTAGTTTAAATCTTACACGATTTGTTAATTATTTTCTTTGAATTTATTTTGTGTAAATTCAAATCATCCTATTCTTATGTTTAACTCAACTTAGTAGCTATTTATTAGGTAACCCGTAACCGATCTGTTTGTATTTTATATGCATGATCGGTTCTCTGCAGATGACATGTATACAATGTAGATCTCATGTAGATTTCCTAATTAAATCAAAAGATTTATATTATATACAGAGGTCAAACATTACTCTATTGTAATGTAGTAGATAATCTTATATTATTAAACAGGCTGTATAAAATTTTGAGGTATATGTATTGTTAAAAATGTACCGTTATATAATAAAAATAAAGAGTTTATGAAAGTACTAATAAGAAAGGGTATAAAAGGGTGTGAAGTCATATACTAATATTGATGGTATTTACATTGTTATTTATGCTTATGTAAACTGGTTATAGTAAAAGTATACTATATATTCATGTTTTCAAAATATGTTAACAAATGTTATATGGAACCGAATATCTGTAGCCGACTATTTAGGGATACTTAACATATTGGTTTTGCATATATTCTAACAATGATATGGTATTAAATAATAGGCATACTTTAATAGTATTGCTTCAGTTATAGTCCATTTTTTAAAAAATCACACATAAAATGAGTCATAATTTCTCTTTAATATAATAGATATTTATAAAGTTGATTTGAGTACTCCTTAACAATTGTCTTCTTTTTATTAGCTCAAACTTGAGAATTAATTAAATAATTAAATTATAATTCACTATATTCTTGTAAAAAAACGCTTCGAACATAATAAAACACCAAACTTGTCAATTCTACGAATAAATGATTTGGGAAAATAATAAGATCAAGGTGATTGGATCTTGTACTCAGCCGACATGAACGTTTGACTACAAGTCCACGGGATTTTTGAAGTCTTGCAGCATGTATTTATTTCTTACAAGTTGCATTACCCCAGCGATAAGATAAAGAAACTTTTGCATTTGATTCGGCTCATATAATTCACCTTCCTGCAACATTTGAGTTCCACGAAAAGCATCTAAACCCTCCTCCAAAAAAAAAGAGAAGCATGAGATTGTTTCTTTTATTTTCGTTCAGTGCTCTCATGTTACTTGGAGCACATGGTTTTACAAATGAAACTGATAGGCAAGCGTTGTTGGAGTTCAAATCTCATGTTTCTGAAGGCAAACAAGTTGTCTTGTCCTCATGGAATAAATCAAACCCTCTTTGCAACTGGAAAGGGGTTATATGTGGCAGCAAACACAAGAGGGTTATTGGTCTTGAACTTGGAGGATTGCAACTGGGCGGAGTGATATCACCATCTATTGGTAATCTTTCGTTTCTCATATCGCTCAATCTTTCTTATAACTCTTTTGGAGGTATCATCCCGAAAGAGGTGGGGAACTTGTTTAGACTTCTTTACTTGGATATGAGCTATAATGTTTTGGGAGCAGGTGGAATTCCAATCAGCCTATTTAACTGCTCTAGATTGAAAGCCCTTTATTTAGTATCAGTTCATCTTGGTGGGCAAGGTGTTCCTTCCGAGATAGGGTTACTGACAAACCTTATGGAGTTGCATCTTGGTGAAAATAACTTAACGGGGAAGCTCCCTGCTTCTCTAGGAAACTTGACATCTCTAAAAAGAGTTAGCTTTAGTGAGAACAGTTTAGAAGGAGAAGTTCCGGGTGATATAGCTAGACTGGGTCAGCTGGTCTTTCTTTTTCTAGGATGGAACAACTTCTCTGGTGTTTTTCCTCCCGCAATATACAATTTCTCCTTGCTTGAAAGGTTATATATTCACGATAATTATTTCTCGGGTTACCTGAGACCTGATTTTGGTAAGCTGCTACCAAACCTACAAAGGTTAAATCTGGGACGTAATTTTTTCAAAGGAGTCATTCCAGCAACACTTTCCAACATCTCGAATCTTCAAAATTTAGGGCTCGATAACAACAATCTCACAGGAAGTATTCCTCTGAGCTTTGGAAAATTAAGAAATTTGAAACTCCTAATACTTACGTACAATTCTTTAGGAAGTCATTCATTTGGAGATCTTGAATTTCTTAGAGCATTAACAAACTCCACCCAACTTGAAACTTTAGACGTTGCTGGAAACAGGCTTGGCGGCCACTTGCCTAACTCTATTGCGAATCTGTCTATTAATCTCAAGAAGTTAGAGGTTGGAATAAACTCCATCTCCGGAAGCATTCCTCAGGACATTGGGAATCTCATAAGTCTCCAATTACTTGGGTTAGAAAAGAATCAGTTAACAGGCCAACTCCCAACCTCTATTGGTAAGCTTCTACAATTGGAAGGATTTTATCTCAATTCAAATCGTATATCTGGAGATATACCACCTTTTATAGGCAACTTGACTCGACTAAACTTACTATACTTGGTCAACAATAGCTTTGAAGGAACCATTCCTCCGAGTCTCAGTAACTGTTCTTCCCTAGGGGAACTATGGCTTGCGTCTAATAAGTTGGATGGGACTATACCTCTGCAAATTATGCGAATTCAATCTCTTATTAGACTAGACCTCTCAGGCAATTCTTTGACTGGTTCTCTACCAGAAGATGTTGGAGGGCTTAAAAATCTTGTTATACTATCTGTTGAGCGTAATAAATTATCCGGACATTTACCACATTCCTTGGCAAATTGTCTCCCAATGGAAACACTTCTGCTGCAAGGAAACTATTTTGATGGAGCCATTCCGGATATAAGAAGGTTGGTGGGTCTTAAAAGGGTTGATTTCTCCAACAATCATCTCTCTGGAAGTATACCTGCATATCTTGCAAACTTTTCTTCATTGGAGAATCTCAATCTCTCCCTTAACAACTTCGAGGGAAGTGTGCCGACACAAGGGCAATTTCAAAATGCAACAATAGTTTCAGTTTATGGAAACAAAAATCTCTGTGGAGGCATCAATGAGTTCAAACTGAAGCCATGCCTCACTGAAGCACCGTTGATGGGAGGATCAAAAAAGAGTTCACCTCCTGTAAAGAAAATAGTGATTGGGGTCAGCCTAGGCATTTCTTTGGTTTTACTCCTGGTCTTAGCTTCAGTTTCTCTGTGTTGGCTCAAGAAAAGAAAGAAGAAGCAGCAGATTAATAATCCAACTCCTTCCACAATGGAGGTATTTCATGAGAGGATGAGTTATGGAGAGATCAGAAATGCGACTGATGGCTTCTCTTCAAGCAATGTGATTGGGTCAGGAAGTTTTGGTACTGTGTTTAAAGCCTTCCTCCCTGCTGAGAACAAGTTTGTTGCTGTCAAAGTTCTAAACATGCAGAGACATGGAGCAATGAAGAGTTTTATGGCAGAATGTGAATCCCTCAAGGACATAAGACATCGTAATCTTGTGAAACTGTTGACGGCTTGTTCGAGTACTGATTTTCAAGGAAACGAGTTCAGAGCTCTCATCTATGAGTTTATGCCCAATGGAAGCCTTGACATGTGGCTGCACCCGGAAGTGGTGGAAGAGACTCGTAGGCCTCCAAGAACCTTGACACTTCTTGAGAGACTCAATATTACTATAGACGTCGCTTCTGTTTTGGACTATCTTCATGTTCATTGTTATGAACCTATAGCTCATTGCGATATCAAGCCAAGCAACGTCCTCCTAGACGATGATTTGACTGCCCATGTTAGCGACTTTGGTCTCGCTCGTCTTCTCCTCAAGTTTGATCAAGAGTCCTTCTTCAACCAACTAAGTTCAGCTGGTGTTAGAGGAACCATTGGCTATGCCGCACCAGGTAAAACTAGCACACATCTCTAATGTTCTATGAAAACTATTAGTTAATTTTTTTTTTTAATTATAATCTTTGTTTCTGTAAATTATGGTGCAGAATATGGAGTGGGAGGACAACCATCTATACAAGGTGATGTGTATAGTTTTGGGATTCTGCTTTTGGAAATGTTCACTGGAAAACGACCAACTGATGAGTTATTTGGCGGAAACTTTACACTCTACAGCTACATAAAATCTGCATTGCCAGAGAGAGTGTTGGACATTGCCGACAAATCGATTTTTCAAAATGGTCTCAGAGTCGGTTTCCCTATTGCTGAGTGCTTGACACAGGTTTTGGAGGTGGGACTTAGGTGCTGTGAAGAATCTCCGACGAACCGGATTGAAGTGAGTGAAGCTACAAAAGAGTTGATCTTAATCAGAGAGAGGTTCTTTAAAGAAAGAAGAACAATAAGACGTTGAAGTGTTTATGGTTTTACTCTACAGACTTTAAAATCTTACTCCAAAAATATCGTTTGCATAATGTGTGGTTTTGCTTTTTTATGTACTCGTATATGCTTGCAGACTTTTGTTTATGAATGCTTGTTATACTGTAAAAGATAAATGTTGTGTTACTAGCTTTAAAAACTGAGACTCTTATTGTGCTTTCAGATTCTATTTCTTTTGATTTCCTTGTCTTATGAAATTAACCCTTTGGTATTATTCACACAAGAATTAACAGTGTCCAGGTCGAACTGACTATCAGAAAATAATTTCGTACATAGCAGAAAGACAAAGACTCCATTCCAACGAAGCTGTACGCATGTGGATCTTGTCGAAGAGACATGACACAACAATATGAAGAAAAGAGTTACAAGCTCATCCGCCATAATAAAGCCAACTGAGGAAACGAATCCATATCTATGTGAAGGAAAATTGCGTCCATAGAAGTAAAGGGTTTCAAGTGTTCTGACGTTCTTTCCGAACAGTTACACCCACTTAGAGCATCATTATCCTAACAACTCATAATAGGTTGCTTAATTATATAATAATAATATTTAAGAAGTTTTTTTGGTAAGCAATTTATCTAAGCAACTTGATATTTTTCCTCCTCCATTGCAAGTTTCTTATTTTAGAGATTTTTTTTTTGTATTCAACATTTACAAAACACAATTCTGAAATATGTTAGAATGGAATGNTTAGAGCATCATTATCCTAACAACTCATAATAGGTTGCTTAATTATATAATAATAATATTTAAGAAGTTTTTTTGGTAAGCAATTTATCTAAGCAACTTGATATTTTTCCTCCTCCATTGCAAGTTTCTTATTTTAGAGATTTTTTTTTTGTATTCAACATTTACAAAACACAATTCTGAAATATGTTAGAATGGAATGGATATATACCTATAAGCAGGGCGCAAGGATCAGCTTCTCTTGGCATTACCGGTGCCTACATAAACACATTGCAATACACATTATGATCAAAGCTCAAAGGTACCCGAGAAGAAAGAGTTTCTAACATAGCTTTTCTTTTCAGAACCATGACGAGAGTGTTTGGGGATTAAAAAAATCATACAGCTTTTGAACGAAGACGGATCACATACATGTTAATTTGTCAAGCTACAGATGTTGTGAAACAAACAAATTCCCCTAAACTAGCCAAAAGCATACAGCTTCAAACTATACACACATACAAGAGAAGAAACTTTTGGTACCAGTCTTATGAACTTGGTGGAAGGCAGGAAACCACCAGAAAATCTCAACCAGCAAGGTTGGCCCCGTCGTGTGACAGAGTTATCCGTAATGTTATCAAGAACAAGGCAGTAAGCTTGAAGCTGAAACATAACACAACAACGTGAGATTAAGACAGGAGTGTATCTAATCTAGCTAGAGATTTCAAAAAAGGTTGAACCTTTTACATACCCATTCAATACACCAACCAAGAGCACACGAGAGAGCATGAGAAGAACATGTTACTCCATTAGATGATTCTTCTTAAGGTGTGACAAGAAGAAAAAATCGAGAACCAAAGATACAAATGTCAAGCTGGTAACATTGAGCATCATTCCGCAAACAAATAGCAAAGACGCTGTACTTATGAAAAGACTTGGAAAATCTAAATGGCTACATAAATTGCAGTATACTAGCAAAAATTCCATAAAACATGTCAATCCACCGAGAATACATTGGATGTAAATAGCCACATCTCATAGAAAACGTAAGTGAAGAAGATCTAAGAAAGGTTGATGGGTCAAATACATGTGCAAGAGCCAAGCTTTAAGCTTTCAAATTCATCAACAATAAGAAGAACAAGCGTTTATGATCAAACCTAAAGAACATGATTTGATTCCTCCTTAAGCAGAAAACAAAATCAAACTGCTGGACAAACAATTAAAGACAAAGTCATGGAGCTTATAACTTACCATGTGAGGGAACTTGTTCTGATCAACAATCGCTGCGGAAGAGAATCAGATTCATCATTCGAAATCTGAGAATTACAGAGGAGGGAGAGACGAAATCCAACAGAGAGTACTTCTCGGTGTCAAGTAATCATCCGCCATTATAACCACCCTCTGAAAAGGAGAAAAGCTCTCGACTTTGCAAGGGAAACCCTTAAAGAAATACTCGATTGGTAGAAAAAGGAGATACCTTTGCTTGCTTGGTTTCACTCGCTTTTTTCTCCTTACACAAACAAACTCCGGCAATGATTCACACCAGCGAAGAAGGACGGAGGAGACTTCGACTTATGACGCGTGTCCTATAAGCGACGTTGCTTTCTTCTCTTAATTAAGCAACGTAGCTTCGATTAAAAGGTATTTTTCTTTTTTTTTAAATCACAATTAACTTAAGCAACTCCCATAAACAACCCCGATAATCATGCTCTTANACAAACAAACTCCGGCAATGATTCACACCAGCGAAGAAGGACGGAGGAGACTTCGACTTATGACGCGTGTCCTATAAGCGACGTTGCTTTCTTCTCTTAATTAAGCAACGTAGCTTCGATTAAAAGGTATTTTTCTTTTTTTTTAAATCACAATTAACTTAAGCAACTCCCATAAACAACCCCGATAATCATGCTCTTAGATACTTTCTCTAGTGTATTTTGCATTTTGAACTTTTAGTGGGACTTATTGAATCAAGGATTTGACAATTGATTTTGAAGAAATTTCAATCTTTTTTTGTTTTTAAATTTTAAATATTTATTTATTTTTAAAATAGCTATAATTTGATATTATATTATCGTTTTATGAAATATATAAAAAATATACAAAATAAAAAGTGATTTCCAAATATATTTTTTTTTCATTTCAAAAATTTTGGTTTTCTTTTTTAAATTGTGAAGTAAATTTTTTAATTATATTTTTTTTTGAAAAAAGTTTCAAACACCATTATATTAGAGTTGATAAATACAAAAAAGGTTTTTCTTGTTCACTAAAAAAGGTTAAAATCGGAAACAGAAGTTAAAAAAATAATAATCCAACGGGTGTCACGGCCCAATAACCCGAGTTACCAAGTCGAACCCGCCCGTTAAAAAACTTTGCAATTCGTTCGTAAGATTAGGGCTCATCTTTTATCTCTGTACTCCTCTCTCTCTCTCTTAGAATCGTCACATCCCTCCCAACTACAATCTCGTTAATGGCGGTTCTCCGACTCTAACAAATCCTCATCCTCCATCAATCCAATCACCACTCGGTAAAAACACGCAAAATCCCTCACCTCTTCTCAATCCCTCTAGATTCACCTCTCCGATCTTAGATCCGATTCCAATTTCCCCCCTCTTCATCGATTTCGCGATTAGGTTTTAGGTTTTTTAGGTTATGGAGGCGGTGAAGGTTCCTCGACCAAGGGGAAGACCTAGGAAACGCCAGAAGCTAGACGACGATAAACGAACCACAACCACGCCTAATTCGAAATCGAGAGGGAGGAGGAAGCAGCAGCAGGAGGCTTCGGAAGTTGAGCGTGTGGCGCCGGTATCGCTTCTAGGACGTTACGTGGTGAAGAGTTTCGGTGAGGATGGGGCGTTTTTAGGGAAGATTGTTTCTTACGAGACTGGTTTGTATAGAGTTGAGTATGAGGATGGGGATTTTGAGGATATGGAGAGTTGTGATCTTCGTCCTTTTCTTGTTGAGGAGAGTAGGTTGGGAGATGAGTTGAGCCGTAGGAGGAGTAAGTTAGATAAGCTGATAGTTAAGAAAGAGGAGAAGAAGAAGAGGAATCAGGCGGAGGAGAGTAAAGTTGTTGTTGAGGTGAAGGTGAATTCTGAGGGAGAAGGTGGAGATAATGATTCGTTGAGTGATTCGGATTCTTCTGATTGTGATGATAAGAGAGTTGAAAGCGAGGTGGTTCCTGTTGTTGTTGTTCCGCCTGTTGATTTACCAGCTTCATCAGGAACAATTGGTATCCCGGAGGAAGCTGTGGTGCATTTGTTTTCTGTGTACGGGTTCTTGAGGTCGTTCAGTTTTCAGCTGTTTATCTGCCCCTTTGAACTGGATGATTTCGTGGGAGCGTTGAAGTTCGCAGGACCAAATTCTTTGTTGGATTCTGTTCATGTGGCTTTGATGCGGGCGTTGAAGGTGCATCTTGAGAGGCTCTCTGAGGACGAGTCTGACTTGGCTTCAAAATGTTTGAAGTAAGTGCAGATAGATTTTATTACTTTGGTATAGATTTCCCTTTTTGGCTAATGTTATTTGCTGGTTTCATTGTGTAACAATCATCTTACGAACTAGCATATTAGGTTATTGGGTATCTGAACTATAAGGAATCTAGGTATTTGCATATTGTTTAAGAGGTGGGGTTAAATTAGTTTTTCACCTCAAGCGTAAGAATTGTGTTTTTTCAGTTAATGCCTAGTCACCGAAATCTTTTATAGCTGTTAGTAGGATTTTTTTTGCTGGTGGTTATAAAGAAAGGGACTTGGACTATTCTGCTAGTGCAAATGGATGAAAGAGCTTATTGTAGGATGTCCACCTGTTTAGTTGATAGCATTTCACAAATTTTGTTGCTTTACCGTCTGCAGGTGCATTGATTGGAGCTTGCTCGATATGCTAACTTGGCCTGTATATTTGGTTCAATACTTCACTGCAATGGGGCATGCAAGAGGGCCTCAGTGGAAATGGTTTTACAAATTTGTCCTAGAAATGGAGTATTATTCTTTACCCGTTGGGATGAAACTGAAGATCCTGCAAATTCTTTGTGATGATATATTTGATGTAGTAGATCTAAGAAGCGAAATAGATGCTCGTGAAGAATCTGAAATTGGATTTGATCCTGACAGAATTGCCACCAATCTTCCTGAAAACGGACCTAGACGGGTCCACCCCAGATTCTCTAAAACCTCAGTTTGCATGGAGAAAGGGGCTTTTGATATGGTCCCTATAAAGCATGGGAGCTCAACAAACGCGTCTAAAAATCTAGGTTCAAATGAAGTTAGCTCAGATATGGACGAAAACAGCGATGAATGTAGGATTTGTGGAATGGATGGGACGTTGCTGTGTTGTGATGGATGTCCTTTAGCATATCACTCAAGATGCATTGGTGTGGTGAAAATGTATATACCAGACGGGCCATGGTTTTGTCCAGAGTGCTCTGTCAACAAAAAGGGGCCGAAGATTGCTCATGGGACTTCACTTAGAGGAGCTGTACAGTTTGGAATGGATCCTCATGGGCGGCTCTTCTTGGGTACTTGCAATCACTTGCTGGTGTATGTTTTCGAGGCCTTTAATTCATATATGTTTTATGCATTTAATTGGAGTTAAAGAGCTGATCTTTCATTTATATGCCTCTGCTACTACATATAACCCTCGTAAAGCGTTGGTTATTTAGGATTACCTAGTTTCTAGACATATATTTGCCAACCTTTTTTCCCAGCAAGAGTCTAGAAACACTTTGCTTTAATTCTTTTGTTGTGACACTGATGAGCATTCTCTTTTTCTGAGTTTTAACCTTTTATCTTAAATCACAGGCTTAACGTATCTGTCAATGGAGATACAGTTGTAAAGTACTACAACGTCAATGACTTATCAAAAGTTGTACGAGTGCTTTTATCAGCATCAAACCATGCGCTAGAATATCTGGATATTTGCAAAGCGATCGCCCAATACTGGGAACTTCCGGAAGGTATTACTATCTCTTTGAGAGAAAGAGATATTGGTTTAGATGAGGTAAAAGATAAAGTGGATGGCAAGGTTTCAGAGATCAAGTCCGAAGGTGCAAATATTTCCAGTAGAAGTGACATCCAAACTGTGTTTGACCTCTCGACATCTGCTTTGAGTAATACTCACAATGGCGTTATAGGAGGTTCAAGTGGAATGCATGAGAAGAAATTGGCTGCTGGTGTTACATACTCTGGCTTGTTATTTAAACCCCAAGCATACAATAATCATTACACAAACGGGGAGTTGGCTGTATCGGCTGCTACCACTTTGGCTAATCTAACAGCAGAGGAAGCCCATGAACCTGATCTTCGCAAGTACAGTACTGCAAAGAAAACTGCATCAAATAACATCTTGGTGCAGATGAAAGCATTTTCATTAGTAGCCTCACGTTTCTTCTGGCCAAGTCCTGATAAAAAGGAAATTACCAGAGAGAGGTGTGGTTGGTGTCATTCTTGCAAACTCACATCGACAAGCAAGAGAGGATGCATGTTGAATGCTGCTGTATCGGGTGCCACTAAGGGTGCTATGAAGATCTTCAGTGGACTTTTTCCTCTTAGGAATGGGGATGGTGTGATTTCAAGTATTGCAGCATATGCTCTATATCTAGAGGAAAGCTTGCGTGGTCTGACTACCGGCCCGTTTCTCAGTGAAACTCTCAGAAAACAGTGGCGTAAGCAGGTAGAGGAAGCCTCGACATGCAAAGTCCTAAAAGCACTCCTACTTGAAGTGAGTAGTTCTTCCTTATAATAATTTTTCTTGGTTACAACACTTCTTAGGTACTCTCTTTTCTGTTTCTTAAAACATAGGAACAATCTTGGTCTATTTTTCTCTAGATTAAATCTGTAGTCGACACTGTAGTATGATATACTAATGATTTTTTTTTGTTACATCGAATTTATCTTGTTCTCAATATCTCAGTGTGGGTTGTTTATCTTGGTTGCAGCTTGAGGAAAATATTTGCAGTATTGCTCTGTCAACCGATTGGTTTAAACTGATGGATGATTGGTTGATAGAACTCTCTATGTTCCCAAGTGCTCCACTTACTGTTGTGGTTGCACAGAAACGCGGACCTGGTAGGAGGAGGCAAAGGAACCATGCTGAAGTTACAGTTGAAGGTTCTGAAGATGATAGCTTTACTTGGTGGAGAGGAGGGAAGTTATCAAAAGTTATACTTTCGAAAGCAGTTTTGTCACAGCCAGCGATAAGGAGAGCAGCTTGTCAAGGTATATTTGTTTGTTTATGTCTTTTATGCTACAATTCTTACCTATTTTCATCAATCATAAGTATTTTGAGAGTTTATTTAATTTTCCGATTGCCCTATTGGTGCCACCACACGGAAATCCTAATTTATGTCACTAAATTATTATTCCTTGTTTCTTATTAGGCGGTTGTAGAAAAATATC